AGAGAGAGAGAGAGAGAGAGAGACACACACACTTAAGCAGGCTCCATGCCCAGCAAGGAGCCTGGAAAAAACGTGGGGTTCGATCTCACAAATCGTGAGATCATGATCTGAGCCGAAATCAGGAGTCGAATACTTAACCAACTGGGCCACCCAGGTGCCCCAGAAAACAGTTTTAAAACATTTAAGAACTGTGGACAATGAACAGAAAGAAAAAAAAAATCTGAAAGTAAGTAATTCTGAACTCTATTAAGCCACTTACACACTTACATTTGAGGTCACCTCTTCCTGATACTAGAAGACTGTCCACCACTCAAAATTAGAAAAATATTGACGATCTCGATCCCTCCACTGGCTCGTCAGAGCTGCACACGGGAAACTGATCTGCTCTCAGCATCAAGAGGCTGTTAAAACCCTGACACACTAACTGAAATACTGTAATTAAAGACTCAAGCACAAGTTCACAGGCTGTAATGTGTTGATGAACACACCCCAACTCGAGCCCTTCATCTCTATAAAACTAGGAGCTACCTCCTATAGATAAAAACCTCCAAACTCAAAATACCAGAGTCTGGTAATCTAAACAGCCAGCTCACAAAAATAAGAAACGCCCTTACGTACTTAGAAGACAATAACCCTAAAGCATAAGTAATCTCTCCACAATTCAGTCTGCTGACATCATCCAAACAAAAATGATTAAAGTAGCTATTCCAAAAAATCGGATCTCTCCAACCAGTATCCGATATTCCTTTTGAAAAACAATGCAACCTTCGCAAATGTGTTTAGATGTTACTTTATGATACAGAGACACAGATAACCACACACACATCCTGAATCAGTATCGCTGGTAAACCAGGGGAAAAAAGGTGCAAATGATACATGTCATAACAGGTATTTAAGACAGCACCACGCTGCTGAAGTAACCCGTTTTAGATAAAGATACCTTCAGAACGATTATTTTCATCATACCAGCAAAAGAGGACTTAAAACCCTAAATCCTAGGCCTGAATGTCCCTAAGTAAATCTGGGAATCTGGGAATTTACTACCTACATTATCCATGAAACGAGATCCTTTCCTCACCACAATCTTGCAACAAAGTAACTTTTGCAACAGTATCTCTACCAACCAGAAAGGTCTTACTTACCTTCCATGGATCCTTTGAATGGAAGAAACAGGATAATTAACCTCAAAAGAGGAAAGAAAAAAAAATTCCTTATCCCCAAACAAGTAAAAAAGCAACTAGCAAATTGAGAAAATTCACGTTCTGAGGTTTCTCCCCCACCCCACCCCCCACCCCCG